CCCCAAAACCCCAAAACCCCAAAACCCCGCTAGATTAGATTATGAAAATATTTTTGATAAAGTTAAATCAAATAAATTCTTTTGTTTCCTTATGAAGGTAATCAAGAGCTTCGAGTTTATTATTTCTTTTCAAAATTGGTTCGATTTCATGCAATATTTAGCTATAATAACCCTTAATCCAAAACTTATGACTTTAATCAAGCAATTACATATCTATTAGGTTCTTTGAATATGGAACTAAAGTTAAACTCTTGAATTTTAAAAATTCATGATTATTTTCACATTTTTCAATTAATAGCATATTTTCAATCCTAATCCCATATTGATTTTCAAGGTAATAGCCAGGTTCATTTGTAATAATCATATTTTCTTGAAGTGCCAAAGCACTATTTTTATCTTTTCCATAAGCATAGTGCGGGTACTCATGAACTGGTCCACAATGACTCACTCCATGACCAATACCATGGCTGAAATCTTTTTCAACTTCCCATAAATGCCTTCTGCCAATTGATTCAATTTAATAGCCATAAGTTCCTTTAGGTATTTAAGTCTTTTCTAGACTTAGATTTCCCAGAAGTACTCTTGTATACATCTCTCTTATGTTATCATATTTAGAGGACTTTTTATTTGAGAATAATAAGGTTCTAGTAGTGTCTGTAGTGCCTTGAATGTATTATGCACCTGTGTCTATAAGGACTGATTCATCTTTATTTAATAACCTTGAATGATTATCCTAAGCTCTATAATGAATTATTGCTCCATTTCCACCAGAGCCGCATATCATTGGGAAAGAATTACTCAGATAACTACTACCTGCCAATTATTGTCTAATCTCATCTAAAATTTGTGGGCAATCGTGCTCATGAATTTTTTCATCAGCATTTAGCTTTGCATTTAGTTTGGCATAGAAACTTATTAATGCAGCTGATTCTATTCAAAGGGCATCTTTGAAACCCTGTATCTCTTATTGATGTTTGATCACTCTTAACTATGAAATTGGAGAATAACCCTCAAAGAACTTAATGCTCTTAATACCTGATTGATTAAGTACTTCATATGCTCCTGAAGAGCAAGATCTTCTATCAATTCCTATAGATTCCAACCCTAAATTGGTTATTCTATCTTTGAATTGACCTAAATCACAAATTTCAATGATATCCCCCTCTAACCTCAGTCTAGTTTGTTCTAATGCCTATTTTGACTACTTATCCACAAATAGATAGGTTTTGTGATTCTTTGAGATAACCATGAATCCGTTAATTATTGGTGAGTACTCATTAATACCAGTAGCCCTCATATTCAAAAACCAAGAAACTTCTTCCGGACTTGACACATAAATTGAATCTAGACCCATTTTCTTGGAAATCTGATGATTTAGTGCAAGCATCCTCTTTTCCTCAAATGTGAGACCAGGATTTTTCAATTCAAAACCATGAATTTTAGGCTAATTGCTTTAATTAGCTTGATTATCTGGATGCTATTGTAAAACCTAATCAACTAATGGTTCTTTAATATTAATTTCAAATTTTATTCCAGATTTTAGAAGCTATTTCTTGATTCTCTCTGTAAATGAAAGTGGGAATAAACTTCCGTCTATATAAACAGAAGCATAAGGCTAATCAGAGCTTTTATTTTCTGTTAAGATCTCAGATATTTCAGTGCTCAGACTAGGGTCCATGATCTCAAATTCATCTGGATTAATTTCCTGCTAAGATTAAAGTTTATATCTATTGTCAGTCATAAAGATAGGCTTTCTATTCTAAAATACTATTGCTAAGCCATTTGAGCCTGTGAAATTTGTCAATTTATATAATCTATCTTAGTCCTTGGACATATCATGGCTCATAAACTCATTATTCTTAGGTACTATATACGCAAATATATTCCTTTTTTAAAGTATCTATCTCAAAGATTACTAAATGCTCTTTGTGGTTTTCATTTTATTATAATTTAGAGTGTTAATTTATCAATTCCTCTTATGACGGTAAACGGGGTTTTGGGGTTTTGGGG